AATATATCTTTATATATATATATATAATTTTAAAATAATCCCAGACCCAGTTTCATAACCCCCCTCCCTCTCCCACCACTTACAGTCAGGGGTACCATATTCCCCCTGGAAAATACTCCGAACAGCCCCATCATTATCTGTTACTAGCATCTAGCTTCAGATCACTTCACCACTGGGGGAGCCCAGACACAGGGTGTATCTCTGCTCCTTTATTAAGTGCTCAATGAATTTGGGGGAAGGGAGGAAAGAAAAAACCCAGGGAGGCCCGCAGGGCTCTGGGGTACGGAGAGGGGGGTACTGAGCCTGATCCCAACTCCTTCTCCACCCCCCCAACCCCCAAACTTTATGGGGAGGGTGTGCAGTTTGTGTGTGTGTGTGTGTTAATTTTAAAAGTGCCTTCTTACTTTAAAAAAGTTATTTAATTTCTTAACATAAAAGTGGGAGAATTTTTCCAGGTGGCTTTCAAGGGCAAACTCCAGTCTTCACACCTCTCTGCTCCGAGTAACCCTTCCCCCCTTCCCCGCACTCTGGCAGCTTCTAGAGCTGCACAGGCCCGTGAGTGAACATTACAGGAGAGCAGAAACCCCCACCTTGAAGGGGCTTCCCTTACCTCAAACCAGCCTGGTCCCCGCCCCCCCCGCCCCCAGGGTGTGGGCAGATAGATGGGATGCTAACCTCCCCTGACCCCAGAACAGCAACATTGCACAATTCAGTTCATTCTCTACATTAGTAGCACTTAAGAAAAAGCTGAAAACAACACAAAAGGAAAATTAAGAGAGTTCTGGGGGGTGGGGGGGGGCGACAACAGCTACTTTGCACAGAGGTGCAGAGCTGGTTTTAACGAGAGGTGTCTGGTTCTGGGCAGTTGGTGCTGCACTCAGTGCCGGACTCCAGGCTGGTCAGGCCTCCCTGCCCTCCCCTCCTGGCACCTGGCACCCAGGGTGGAGGGAAAGACAGATGGGGTCTCACCTGCTGGGAGACAAAGCCCTCCGTCTCTCCGCCCCCACCCCCAGTCTCTCTCTTCCCTCCTCTGTCTCACTTCTAGGACACGGTTACAACGGGGCTGCTCTTCCCTCTTGCCAGGAGCAGATCAGGATTAAAAAGGCAGGGGGGAGGGGCAGAATTTTACAAAGAAAATAAGATGAAATAGTTTTGGGCTAGTTGACCTGGAAGAGACTTCCACCTCCACTGGGACCAGGAGAGCATCCAGGAGGCCAAGACCAGCCTCCGTTCCTCTTGGCTTGTCCTCATATGTCCCTGTCCCCTTCTCTGTGGATTAAAGCTTCTCCCTCCAGGATCTTTCCCCTCATTCTTAGAGCCCAACTTCAGCTGAACACTGCCTCCCAGACTGTCCAGACCAGAGACACCCAGGGCTGACGTCCTCTCTTTGATGCCAACACCCCACCCCAGGTTAAGTGCATTAAAAATTTCTGCCCCCAACACTCCCAGTCCTGTCCCGTTGGGGAGCCCCCTGCAATGCTCCTGTCATTTATCTGAATATCATCTGTGTTTAAAAAAAAAAAAAAAAAAAAGACAAAAGAGAAAAAGAAAAATATTGAGGGAAAATAAAAAGGTTTAACCGTCCACTGAACAAAGGGAGGACACACAACATCATTAAAAATGACAATAATTATAGCATAAAAACTTTAGAAACACACGTCAGAGGGCTTAGATGTCTCCCCAGGACCTCACTCCGACCTCCACCGGAGGTGAGGAGCACCTCACTGTGAGTGGAAACCGCAGAGAAGATGAGGCAGCAGGACCGCAGTGGTGAGAGAGGGAGGGGGGCGGCGGGGCCGGCGCGTCCTGTGGGCCTCTAGGGCGGTGTCTGCTGTCTGCGTCTCTGCGTCTCTGCGTCTCTCTGCGTCTCTGCGTCTCTGTTCTCCGTGGTGGGCACCGGCACAGGCACTGCATGCGACGGAAGTTGGGGGCGATGGGAGAGGAGGGGTGAAGGGTTCGAGGCTGGGCAGCGTGAGTGGACGGGCGTTATTTCTGCCCGCTGATGGACTGCGCTATAGACCGGGGAGGGATCATGTCTAAAAGGTACTCCCGCTGCCGGTCTGCCAAACTGGGAGCTTTGTGTCCTCCAATGCCGGTGTTCAAGTATGCAATGTTGACACCTGGACCCAGGAGACAAAAGCAGGGTGGGTGGGTGGGGGGCAGGCGTTAGAAGAGGCGGAACCTTCTGGACTGCGCCAGCCAGGGGCGCGGAGCTGGAGCTGGGGAGGAGGCAGCAGACGCCGTCTGCACCTGTCCAGACTCAGCCAAGCTCTATGTCAGCGGTCAACTGCCCCTCTGCACCCCAGCTTTTAGGGAACGAGGTCTTCTTGACACTTCGGTCCTACCAGGAGTATAGTAAGCACAGTCTTGATGGGATGGGACAGTCAGAGGGAACAGTGGTGAGAGGGCATTAACCAAGGCAAAGAGATGCACTCACGGAATCTGCTCTGGGTTTGGGGCTGCCGACTGTGAAGAAGCATCCCTCCATCATTCAAACAGCACCCTGCTCTTCCCGCCAAGAGATCAGCAACCACACGCCCACCAACAGGGCGCACCAGACAGCGAACCGGTAATGGCAGGGACTGGGCCGTTTTCACTACCAAAACCCTAGTGTGCTGTGTCTTGAATGTATTATGAATTTAGCCAACACTTGCCAAATAACAGAGTGAAGGGAGGGGGCCTAAAGAGAGAGCAGAAACAGAAGCAGCAGCTGTTCGCCCAGGGAGCTGGTCCCATCAGCCCTTCTTACCTGGCATCCCGAGGAGGCCACCGGGCACAGAGAGCTGGGGCGCCTGCGCAAAGTTGGAAAGCATGGAACGGGCAGAGGTGGGTATGCCACGCTGGAGGCTGCTCTGGGGCTGGGGAGCCTGCAACGGCGAGCAGACGGTGGATCACAATGTTGCCGCCACCGAAGGGACAAGGGGGAGGGAAGGGTATGGGAGCCCAGAAGTGCAGAATGACTTCCCACCGAAAAAGGACAAGATGGGACCAACGGCTGAGAGCCCTCCCAGAGAACCTCACCTGCCGAAGCGTATGATGTCTCATTATGGTGTCTTGTTTACTGACACTGGACACGGCTGGAGCCGCAGTGGGGGAGAGGGCTGCCTGCTGCTGGAGTCGCTGTTCAATTTCCTGTCGGGAGTCATCAGGTCAACTTGGCGGGACAGTACTCCATTTCCTACCCAGAAAACCTAGAGGTCTTCTTATCTCTAACGTTGCCAGCGAGGAGGAGGGATATGGAAAAGGCAAGAGTTGGGTGGGGTAGGTGCGCTAAGATCTCTGGGCACAAGCAGCCAACACTGCTTCGCTGATTCGGGGATCCGTCTGTCCAGGAAAGCTGGTGCTCAGATGCGGGCAGGAGAGGTCTGGGTGGTGGCAACCAGCTGACTGAAGCGCTGAATGCCGACGAGTTTACTGAGGTTTTAGTTTTGCCTCTTGTCTACCCATTTTCCAGAAGATCCGTGATGCTACCCAAAGGGGTCTGATGAGTGGTGGGGTGGAGACGGGACAGAGGAGAAGGATCCAAGCCTCCCAACACATCTTCCCCTCTCCCAGGTCTGCTCACTCCGCGCCACTCCTCTTCCCTGGGCCATGTCACAGTTCACTCCCTCCACCGTCATTCCCTTGCCAAACATGGACTAGAGAGATTCTGTCTCTCCAAGAGGTTCAGGTATAAATCCCTCCCGCCAAAATCCATTTGACTGAGGAGGAAATGAAGGTGAGTGAATGGAGGGACTTCTTTGGTGCCACCAGGGATGGAAAGCCACATCTCAGCCTTCGTCCCTCCCCGCCCCGGACCACTCTGTCGTTGCGCTCTTGCCCAACCAGAGACAGTCAAATGGAAATGGGAAGACAGAACGGGAAGCAGACCAACAGGGAACCTGGGCCTTGAGGCTCCAGGACCCTAGGTCGTCGGGGACTGTGGGGATCACATAGACAACTCCACTAAACTAGAAAGAACCACCTTTTGGGAAAACCCAACCTGAGCAGGTGGCTGGTGAGAAGTCAGAATTCTTACCTGTTCCTGCTGTAGGGCTTTAACAAAAGCATTTTTCAGCCGGTTGGTGTGTTCAGCCTTCAGAGCCTTCTTCTGATTGGAGGTCATACACTGCTCACACAGAATCTTACCGTTCTTCTCCTGCTTCCAGTGGGGGGTGAAATCTGTGCGGCACTGGGCACAGACAAAGGGTTCAACCCGCAGGAGTGAAGCACAGCTCTTGCCTAGATGCCAACAAAAAGAATCATCAGGGCTTTCACATTTCCCCACCTCCTGTTTCTTCATCAAATCAATTTTTCAGAAGGTTATTCTGCTGAAGTAAGGAGGAGACTCTACAATTTAGAAAATACTTTTATTTCATTCAATTGTAACAACGTCACCTTAGGGAACTCAGAGCACAGCACCCCGTTTACAGACGAGGAAGCCAAGTCTGAGAAGCGTGGCTGCTCATGACAAAGCTGGCCCAAGAACCCACACTCCCTGACTTCCTCGTCCACCAGCGAGACGGAAACCTGCTTCATTCAGAGGACACCGGATCCATCCAACTCCGCCAACACTTTTGCTTCACAGCATCTTTTTACGTCAGATTGCACTTATTCCCAGCCCAGACAGTCACAATTTTTAGTTATCAGTATCTGAATCACTCACTTTGTGATCTGTTTAGAGCCAATACTTTCAGGCACTTTCCTCTACTGTCAGGTGTCCCCCTAAGTCCCCATGTTTGGAAATTCAGGCTTAGTAACTTCTGTTAGTGTTAATACTTCACAGTTTGGTTCAGGGCTGGTTCACAGCTTTTATGTGGTCATAGTCATCTCCTTCAGTAAGTCTACTTTCTCAACTCTAAGTACTCAAACGGCAGGGACTGAACATAATAATGTAGCACAATGCCACATAAACACGGACATTAACAAGTGTTCTAGTCACCAAATTATGCATACATCATGCTAGGCACCACTGAAAAGAACTGAACAATACACTGCAAAAACTATACAACATACAGAAAATACAATAAAAATATGAAGCCTAAGCTACACACACACACACAAAGCGTTTCTGCTATGTTGCTCCCGAACGGCCTCTGAATAACGAAGGAGAGGTGGTTTGGCAAGAGTAAGGAGAGGTTACTTGTCAATCAGGCTTGGCAGCCTCTTGCTCAGATAAAAGACTGACCAGAGGAAGTAGCCTCACCTTGGCTGTCGATGACACTCTGTACAACTTCTTCCAAGCCCACCATGTAGATGAACTCGCTATTGGCTGCACTAGGCAGGAAGTGAAGCAAGGGAGCGGGAGGTTTAGGGGGTGGAATCTCCAGGAGTGTCTTTTCCAGCTGTTTGCGAAGAGCCAATTTGGCTGCAGCCTGGGAGTTGGCAGCATCGGTCATGGCGCTGGGGCTAGGAAGTGGTGAGGACACTCTGTTCACGGTCCCTGGCTGGATGTGGGAGGCAAGGTTCATATAGATGGCAGAGGATGCTGTGCGCTGGCAGGGAACAGAAGAACTCGACTGCTGGAATGCAGGGAGCACAGGGGTCAGTGACGGGATGTGGGAGCAAGGACCAAGTCTTGCTTTCATGGCAGAAAACATTATCTGAGCCTCGTCTGGACTGCTTAGCTTTCCCAAAACTCAGGAAAAGATAGGAGGTGTCCAACCTCAATGAAAAAGATCTCCAGCACACAGGAAAGGAGAATGATAGTGGCTAGGACTGACAACTGCTGAAAGGAAAACAAGGGGATGCTCTCTGTCCTCTGTCCTTATGCCTCTTCTTCCCCGGGCCCCTGCCTTCTTCCAGGCAGGTGTCAGGCTCACCGCTGCCCTGCTGTACAGACTCCCTTTGTCCACTCCTGTCCTCAGGGAACTCCCCAGTGCTGTCAATTCAAGCTCCACCAAAACTACCCTGGGTTGTCCTACAGCTTCTCTATGTCCAAACCCCTAAACACTATGGTCCTTTCAACAGGGAGAGCAATAAAAGACTTCTCTGTTTCCACACGAGGGCTCTCTTACCGGCTGGTAGTTGATGGCAGGATTCATGTTGGGTGTTGTGGTGCGTACAAGGCCTGGCTTGGGTGGGCCCCGCTGACCCTGTAGCTGGGCTGGGTTTGGTGCAATAACACGTTGAGACATCAACATATGTGGGAGGGTGGTAGTGGTCGCTGAACGGATGACACTGTGACCCTGAAGGGGGAGAAGAGGAAAGGAAGTAGTCATAGCTGGTAAAATGCCCCACCAAAATGCTAATGAGGTAAAACTGTCTGTAACACACAGCTGAGTGGGAACACAGAGTTGGTAATTTTGTCTAATGATCTACGGAATAAATGTACCATCAGTGTAAATCCTGATTAGTGGTAGGAATTCCCTTATACCTTGGTATAAGCCATCTAACCCTAGATGGAAAAGGGCTAAGCTAGAAACATCCAGATAAGAAAAACCACAATGGGAAGCTAAGGATTATCCGCCCTACTATGCCACCTAGTACCACACACCAAGTCATGCCAGGAGGGACCCAGGACTGAGTAAAAGCATCCCCACTATGGCCAGGTTCTTCTATAATTGTCACAAAAGTCCCAAACCAGAGATGGGATAGACAGGGCTCTCCGACACAAAGACCCCAAGGCGGGTCACATACCTGTAATGTTCTCAGACTCTGTGGTTCAACCCCTTGGGCTCCAGGCCGGGAGGGAAGCTTGGACAGGCCCTGCTGTCCCCCATGGGCAGGAGACGGCTGAACAATGGATGCTGCATTCTGCACAACTGGGGTCTGAGAGAGAGAAAAGACAATGAAACAGAGGCAGAAATCTGGAACACTCCCAGACTTTTAAAATTCCTTGTTGGAGTAAAGCTTCTGTTGACCAAATGAAAAATGAGAAAAATGGAATCAAGGCTTTCTTGATTAAAGCCTAAGATTTAAAAAAAAAAAAAAATCACTATTCTTAGAAACTAAAAACCACGGAACCAGAGAAGAACGGGCCACCCAACTGAACCTACCTGGGGGAGTCCATTCTCAAACCCAGACCCGTATTACTAGGCCGTGATACCTTCTGGACCACGTTCTCTTTCTGTAGCTGGCTCTGCCTCAGCTTCTTTAACAGCACCAGCCGGGCTTCCTCCAATCGCAGCTCATCCCTCAGCTGCTTGATGAGTTGTTGCCGTTCCTCCACACCTTTCCCCTAAGGAGACAGGAGCGCTAGCTATGGGAGCAGGCACCCAGCCAGAGTCCCTTCCTGCAAGACGATCTTTTCTTCTCGGTCTGAAATCATCTTCCACACCAAGCAGAAGCAGCACCGGGACTGGTATTTTTGTGTCCCTGGATTCCAGCACAGTGCTTGGTATTCAGCAGGTGCTCAAAAAATGCTTACAGAATCAAAGGAGAGACCGCATATAAATCATAATCAACCAGATTTCTGGCAAAATAGAAGAATGGCCACAGGAAGACACTGCTTTCCTTTTTTAAAAAATACTTTATTTATTTGACAGAGAGAGACACAGCGAGGGAGGGAACACAAGCAGGGGGAGTGGGAGAGGGAGAAGTAGGATTCCCGCGGAGCAAGGAGCCCGATGCAGGGCTCGATCCCAGGACCCCAGGATCATGACCTGAGCCGAAGGCAGACGCTTAACGGCTGAGCCACCCAGGCACCCGACACTGCTTTCCTTTAAAATAATGTTTCTGGATCTTCTTAAGCCAAGTTTCCTCTAGATATACATAAAAACTGAGGAATCCCTTCATATTATGAGAACCAGGATAGAGCTGTTCCAGCCAAGAGTTTATGTGACTTACGAAGTTTTGTTTTCATATTTTCCAAAGATAAGTTATACTGAATAAGCTCTGTCAAACTATCTTCTACACTTGATCTTAGCCAAAAGGCTGAGAAGCGATTGTCAAACTATCTTCTTCACTCCGCTCTAATTCCCTGTGAAAGTGCATGCCCTTGGGGTGCCTGGCTGGCTCAGTAGGTAGGTGGAACATGTAACTCTTGATCTTGGGGGTTGTAGGTTCGAGCCCCATGTTGGGTGTAGAGGTTACTTAAAAATAAAATCTTTAGGGGCGGGGCGTCTGGGTGGCTCAGTCGTTAAGCATCTGCCTTCGGCTCAGGTCATGATCCCAGGGTCGTGAGATAGAGCCCAGTGTTGGGCTCTGCATTCAGTGGGGAATCTGCCTGAGATTCTCTCTCTTCCTCTGCCCCTTCTCCCACTTGTGCTTTCTCTCTCAAATAAAAATAAATAAATCTTTAAAAAATTAAAAAAATTAAAAAATTAAAGGGCATGCCCTTGAGGTTGAGAATCACATAAAAAGTTTCATCAATGGGTAATTACTTAGATTAAAAAAGTAAACTATAAAAACACAGAACTGGGACTCTTAAAATAGGAGGAGCAAAAAATGAAGATACTGTTTTTTCTTTCTTCTCGTTCTTTTTTTACCTTAAACATCTCTAGGTTGGCTGCTTTGAGTCTTTCTTCCATTCGGGAGCTGGAACGGGGACTGGAAGCCTCATTATCAGATAAAACAATGATGTCTGGGGAGGGAGTCAGCCTTCCTCGGTCTGGCTCACTAGACAAGAAAAACATTGAGGTATTTCAACAGTGCAGGTTCACAGAAAAGTTAAAACTTTTTTTCTACTGAACAAAGAAATTCAAGGGAACTTAGGTCTGTCCCAATTCACCCAGGGGATTCAAATCCTAGGATGAAGAAAATACCAAGACAGAAGTGGTGCTAAAGCCTCAGTCACAGTACTTTCCATCTGATTTCCTTGTGTAGGGACAAGACACACACACAGTGACTGGCTTCAGAAATGGGAGTAAGAGCTGAGTGTTCTTATCACGTCGATCTGAATCAAAATTCTGAATGTTTCCCCCTATATCTCACTCTCCTTTGGGTTGTCTCATTAGTCACGTAGAGGCTCAAGAAGGAAACCGCTCGCTGGAAGGGCAAAGGCGGGAGAGCTGACGTATAGACAGTACAGTGCTAACGAGGATCCTAAGCTCACTATACCCGTAACAACACGGTCCCGGCTATGCGAGGATTTACGGAAGAGGTTTTACGAGCCCTAACGGTAGTCTGTCCTTTCACGAGTTAAGGCAAAAGAAGGTCTGTTGTCAGCTGCTTGAAGGAATGGACAGTGCCAAGTCTACAGCCTTCGGGAGGACTGAAACTCCAAAACGCATCTACTTGCCAGACTTCCACTTAGCATCTTCCTTCAGCAAGAAACTGTCTAGAAACGACTTTGAAATCTAAATCTTCCATACTGGGTCCCTGTATTCCCAATCTTATTTATTAGACAATTGTAGTTTTGGTCTTTTGGGGCTAGCCATAAAAGCATCATACCTGTTTTTCTAAGATGATAAAAAATGGCACTGAATTCTGGAGATTCTAATTGCCTCAGGTTCCCAAATCAATGACCACATCTTCTAACTCTCTGATTTCTTAACTCAAAGATTATCTTCCCAGAACCTACTTCCTCGAGATCTTCAGTGTAGTTAGGAATACACAGATCTAAAGCAATTTTGTAGTTGTAACTTAAACATGAAACTCGAATCCCTAACACCCACAGAGCTTTAGTCCTGTGAGCCTCTCTACCATTTCTCTGGGTCTCTTCTCGGCTGTTGGGACATAGATACTTTTTGAACAGGGCACCCTGCCTAGATGGGGTGAGCATCCAATTTCTCAACAGGGTAAAACAGAGTTAGTAAAATCAAACAAATTTAGCTGAGAAGATAGAACAGAGGGAGAGAGTGACATGTGTGACTATGCTGGGGACTATTCCATTTGTCTGGATTGCCCTACAACCACTGGTCACAGATGGCAAGCTGAGGATGTGAGATTACAGAAAAAGAAGCCAGGAGAGGGAGAAGAGCCCATCTTTCTCTGACCCCAAGTTGCTGGAATGATGGTCAGACCTCACAGTGTTTGATTTTATTTTCTGGTGATTTCATTTTTCATTTCTATATTCCTTCATCCCTGTCTCCCATCCCTAACACTAACACAGATGACTAATTTTGAGACCTGGTGGATTTCTAATTCTACTTGGTTTCCTGGTGTTTGTTTACATCAACAGTCCAAAGCTCCTTCCATTCTGGTCCTGGCTGTAATACATGCATCAATATTATCTCTAAGAATTCCTCCTTGCTCAAATGAATGCCACCCATTGCTGATGGACTGCCCAGCAACAAGACAGGTAGAGACATTCCTGGATGGAGACTGTGGAACCGAGCAGCATTTATCAAGGAATTGTATCTGAGAACAACCCTAACTAAATGACATTTTATTCCTGGATATAATCAGACCAGCACAGGCAAGGCAAAACCCAAGTCAAGTCTTGTTTCATTCTTCAACTGTTTTTTTACATCTGACTTGAGGTTCTGGTCTCATTAATTAAGCTTTCCGGGGACAGAAATTATTTTGCTACTTTCCCAAATATATATATGATTTACATTATTTGGTGTTCTTAAGTATGAAGCTTTACCTGTTGGAGATTACTAAAACCCTGAATTGTTGCTAACCTCACTTACGACCCAGACTGGCACATTCCCAAAAGCTATGTAACTTCTAATCCTCATTCCAGTTGTAAAAACAACTAAATAGAAAATGGCCATGTTTCTCTAGCTTTCCAAAATATAAGCAAGCACTGGTTTCACACACACCTTATTTCATATACATTGTAACCTGCCCAACTGATGGCAAAAAAAAATTTAGGCAATTATGATGTGGCTATCATTGATGTCAGGGGCTCTTCATTCTTTCTACTTTTAAATTGTCTTCTTTTATCCAGATAAAGACACTGTTGTTCTCCTTGCTGAACCATCTATCAATCCCGTTCATTCTTATAAAAAGCTTGGGGCTAAGTGTAAATAACTGTCGGTATATCTGGTGAAAGGGGAGAAGAGTGGGAGGGGCCAATGGGGCCTATTTTTCCATGTAGAATGGGGATCTAGATAGTTTACATTAACCCGCTTTTCCTGGAGACTATTAAAAACAGTTCCCGGTTTCCAGAGGATCAAGTTTCAAAAGTTCATCCCTAAAATAAAATTAAATGCAATGGTAGGGTTTTCAGGACAGTCTGACTTTTCAACATAGAATTTTTAAAACTTATTTAGTACAATACCAATTAATAGCACTACTGAGATCTCACCAAAATGTACAGCAATGTTCCCATGAAAAATGCATTTTCAGGGCCAACTTGGGATGTGAGGAATCCATCCAACATTTGTCCTCTTCCTCCTCCCCAGTCAAGTAGGATCATTACTTGCTCCAAAAAGGTGACGGTGGCTATGGGCAAGTGGGTTGCTCAGGGGCATGATCTCATTCATCTGCTTTCTTTTTTCCCCAAAGGATCTCAGAATTAATCTATTTTCATAATATTCTGCTGACACTACATATAGCTTCCAAGCTACCCAAGGATTGTTCTCCTCTTTTATGACCAATAGGGAATTTATTTAAAGTTTCCTAAGGGTTTTAAATACTATTACCAAAAAGAATGTTCCCTCATTGGGTGTGGTTTAAAAAAATAATCCTGGGATAGTAAGTAAACATTAAAGCTAGAGAAAGAATCCCAGGTGAGGCTCTAACTGTTCCTTTCTCCTTCAGTCATAGACAAATTCAGCAAGGCCATCTGAAGGGCAAGTGGACACTAAAGGATCATTCTCATGCCCTATCAGCTATATCTGAACTATTAATAAACTGAATGTTCTTAAAGCTAGGGCTGTCTACACTGTGATTCACTGTCCCGGAAGTCGTCACCCTCAGCCAGTACCTTTCACTGTTTCAAGTACTCAGCCTTGACAGGCACCAGAAAAAAATCCTGTGAAAACGTGTGCGTGTGAGAGTGTACACACACAAGTGTGTGTGTATGTTTGTGTATGTAGAGGTTGAAGAGAGTGGCACAAAGCAAGAATGCAGAGAATTAGCACATGAAGACAATTTCCTTGTTCATGAAAGAGAAGCTGGGCCCATGCTTTTGGATGTAACAGAAGTGGGAACTCCGTAACAAACAGATTCTAAAACTCTCAGGGTGACCTGAAGGAAAGTCTGCTGCCTTCCTAAAATGGCCCTAAGAGTGAAGCCCGCATCACCTCACTTCCAGCTCTATGGTGCCTCCTTCATCCAGAAATGACCTTTATCTTAAGGGTGTTAACTCTAAGATTCTCTGTGCTAAGCAGATAGATGAGGCACCAAGTTTCATTTGGAAGTGAGAGGAATTCATGGTCAAGCCAAATGGCACACATACGTCTTCTTTCAAGAAGCACCTCCTCTCACTGGATTTCATCCCATTTTCACAGGCTTAGTTTAGGAGGAGACCCCACTGCAGGAGGCAGCTGAACAGCGCCGTACCTCCGCCTTGCACTCATATCCACAGGCTCGTCACTGATGTTTTCTTTGCCGGGCCTTCCAGCAGTCCTGTTGTCTCCGTGAGGCCTGAGATTCCCATTGAGCTTCTCTTCATAGCCCTTGACGCCACTGCCATCCTGCTTGGTGGGCAACTCGTGTGGCACCTCAAGATTCGCCAGATCCTTCCGTTTAAGCAGTGCCAGCATTTTCAGGCGTTCCATGGCCTCATGCCCCTCCATTTTGAGTCGCTTAGCCAGGACATCATCTCGCTCATCCGCTGGGTCCAAGCTTCGCTTCAACAGGTTCAGGCGAAGAGCATCTTCTGTCATTCTATCCATCCTACAGAAAGGAAAATAAAAGTGAGATCAGAACACAGCCCCTTCAACAGTCTGTAAGGAACTAGGGTGAGTGGAAGAGGCACTCAGAAGAACCATAGGGACACCCGGCTGGCTCAGTCGGTAAAGCTTGCAACTCTTGATCTCAGGGTTGTGAGTTCAAGCCCCACATTATGTGTAGAGCTTACTTCAAAAAATAAAAAGTCAGGGCGCCTGGGTGGCTCAGTTGGTTAAGTGACTGCCTTCGGCTCAGGTCATGATCCCGGAGTCCCGGGATCGAGTCCCGCATCGAGCTCCCTGCTTGGCAGGGAGCCTGCTTCTCCCTCTGACCCTCCCCCCTCTCATGTGCTCTCTGTCTCTCTCATTCTCTCTGTCTCAAATAAATAAATAAAAAAAAAAATTTTAAAAAAAATAAATAAATAAAAAATAAAAAGTCATAGATACATGGAAGTTCAAAGGTCACTGAGCTAACCTTCTACCTGTTCCCAGAACACCTACACTAAAGGAGATTTCTCCACTCAACTTCAGCAGTGGAAAGTAAACTTCAACTACTTTCTAGTCATCGAGAAATCTTCCTTACTATAGATTAACTGTATCATCACTACACTCAGCTGGATGGTCCATTAAAAGCCTACATCTCTCAGAAAATAAACATTTTTTTTGTGACTGGCTTTTTGTGTCTGTATGCTCAAAGTCAGATGCGTTGGTTTGTTGTTGGTTTTTTTTTTAAAGATTTTGTTTATTTATTTGTCAGAGAGAGCGAGCGAGAGAGGGAACACAAGCAGGGGGAGTGGGAGAGGGAGAAGCAGGCTTCCCGCGGAGCAGGGAGCCCAACACGGGGCTCGATCCCAGGACCCTGGGATCATGACCTGAACCGAAGGCAGACGCCTAACGACTGAGCCACCCAGGCGCCCACAGACTCCATATCTTAAGATACTTGGCTTTAGGGGGAGCCCTGCTGGCTCAGTTGGTAGAGCAGGTGACTCTTGATCTTGGGGTTGTGAGTTCAAGCCCACTGGGCATGGAGCCCACTTAGAAAAAAAAAAGATACTTGGCTTTAATGAAAGACTCAGGTGTTTAGGCTGATAGAAGGTAATACTTTCTCTACTTATGCAGCAAAATTATTAAAGGCAAGAAAATATCATTTTCCCTCTCACTTTGATTTTTTATGCTAACAAAATCTAAATGCAGAATTTCTTCCATACTTTTAAATCCAGGGCTGTTTTCCTGGTAAGAAACAGCAATGAGGCACTGGAAAGAACGTTTTTTGAATCATAGAAACATAGGATCAAACTGCTAATTACTTTTATAAGGTCAAATATTTAATAAGTTACTTTACCTCCCTAAATCTCAAATTTTTTTTTTTTTAAAGATTTTATTTATTTGAGAGAGAGAATGAGAGACAGCACAAGAGGGAAGAGGGTCAGAGGGAGAAGCAGACCCCCCGCCAAGCAGGGAGCCCGATGCGGGACTTGATCCCGGGACTCCAGGATCATGACCTGAGCCGAAGGCAGTCGCCTAACCAACTGAGCCACCCAGGCATCCCCCTAAATCTCAATTTTATCTGTGAAAGTGGGGACTCAGAAGATGCTCAACAAAATTTAATTTCTATACCCTAGGGTTATGACTTCTATACCTAAGACATGAGATCAGACCCAATAATTCACAGACTCAAGTAGGAGGACAGAGAACACTACCAATGTTAACTGGTACTCTTGCAAAGAAAAATAGGTTTGTGTTTGAGGCATCTTCCTTCTTGTAGTGAGGAGTAAAATAAGAGCTATTTGATCCTTTCCTGGGACAAAAAAAAAAAAAAATCCAACAAAAGGAAACAGACATTTTGGAGATCAGAAAAAAAGAAGCCAGATCTCTGAATTTTTGGGTAATGTTTCTTCTTTTCTTTCTTTTTAAAGATTTTATTTATTTATTTGAGAGAGGGCAAGCACAAGTGGGGGGTGGGGGAGGGGCAGAGAGCAAGGGAGAAGCAGACTCCCAGCCGAGCAGGAAGCCCGATGCGGGACTCGATCCCAGGAACCTGAGATCATGACCTGAGCCAAAGGCAGATGCTTAACCGACTGAGCCACCCTGGCCGTCCCTGGGCAATAGTTCTTAATTCTCTTTTTAAAAAGATTAGCTTTACTGAGATGTTAATTCACAGATCACATAATCCACCTATTTAAAGCACACACTTTGGGGTGCCTGGATGGCTCAGCTGTTTTAAGTGGCCAACTTTTGATTTTGGCTCAGGTCCTGATCTCAGGGTCCTGGATGGAGCCCCACACTGGGCTCCACGCTCAGAGGGAAGTCTGCTTGAGGATTCTCTTCTCTCCCTTTCGCCCTCCCACGTCTCGTGTATGGGTGCTCTCAAATAAATGTTTAAAAAAAGTGTGCATTTTAATGGTTTTTTCTGTATTCACAGAACTGTAATCATCACCACAATCAATATTAGAACATTATCATCTACCCCCTAAAAAACCCATACCCATTAGCAGTCTCTCTGCCCACATCTCTGTCCTCAACTAATTTAGTTTCTGTCTCTAAATTTGCTAATTTTGACTTTTTTTTTTTTTTTGAGAAGGAGGGGGAGAGACAGAGCAAGTGTGTGCGAGAGGGGGGAGGGGCAGGGAGAGAATATTTTTTTTTAAAGATTTTATTTATTTATTTATTTGACAGAGAGAGAGAGAGAGACGATGAGAGAGGGAACACAAGCAGGGAGAGTGGGAGAGGGAGAAGCAGGCTCCCCACTGAGCAGGGAGCCCGATGTGGAGCTCAATCCCAGGACCCTGGGACCGTGACCTGAGCCGAAGGCAGACGCTCAACCATCTGAGCCACCCAGGTGCCCCTGGAAGGCAGACGCTTAATGACTGAGCTACCAAGGCACCCCACAGGGAGAGAATCTTAAGCAGACCCCACGCCCAGCGCAGAGGGAGATGTGAGGCTTGATCTCATGACCCTGAGAGATCACGACCTGAACCGAAATCAAGAGTTGGATGCTTAACTGACTGAGCCACCCAGGCACCCCTGGACTTTTCACATAAATGGAACCATATAATATGTGTGGGTTTTTTTGTGACTGGTTTTCACTGAGCATCATGTTTTTAAGGTTCATTCATGTTTGTAGCCTGTTATTACTTTGTACCTTTTTATGTCCAAATGATATTCCATTTGTATAGATGTATTTTGTTTATCCATTTATCAACTGATGGACATTTGTTTTCTCCCCTACTTTTTGCTATTATGAACAATGCTGCTATGAACTTTTGTGTGCAAGTTTTTGTATGAACATGTTTTCAGTTCTCCTGTGTAAAGACCTGGGAGCGAACTGCTGGGCTGCATGGTAGCCCTTTGTTCAACACTTAGAAAAAGTGTTGGGCTGCTTTCCAAAGGGGCCCTACCATCTTACGTCACCACCAGCAGCACATGAGGTTCCAACTTCTCCATATCCTCTTAGTTTTAACAGCTTCAGATAGGAGACGTATTATAGAATATACAAACAGTCTTTAGCTACAGGTCCCCCTAAAGATCTGGTATTTTGATTTATGTTATTTCTGAAGTGGTTTACTTCTGAAAAATACCCACAAGGTGGAAACTGGAAAGCTGAATGCTACAGAACATCAAAAGTGAAGTCCCAACTCCACAGTAACAGTGTTCCAGGGAACTTGATCAACATCTCATACTGATGGGCACCTGGATGGCTCAGTCAGTTAAGCATCTGCCTTCGGCTCAGGTCATGATCCCAGGGTCCTGGGATCGAGTCCCACATCAGGCGCTCTGCTCAGTGGGGAGTCTGCTTCTCCCTCTCCCTCTCAAATAAATAAATAAATAAAATCTTTAAAAAAACAAAGCATCTCATACTGAGAGGTCCATTAGGAAGTTGCAGGTGGGAAAAGTCTGTTACTCAACTGATCATACACCTAGATGCAAAAAATACTCCAGAAAAGTACACAGCAAGAAACATAAATGCAAATTAATATGGCACAGTGTTCCAAGTTTTGGGGCAAATTATATTCATGAGCACTGAAAATATATAACAAAGCAACAAAACTTCAATAACCTAGAGTTGAAGGGAGTCTGGGACGCCATCATCATCCCGGCTTCTCATATGGTTATACAAACAATTGAACACTGCTCAAATACCTCCCCCCCCCAGTATACTCCAATGAAATAAACAGATACACTAGAAGTTGGGAGAAACCAGAAACATACTTTTTTTTAAACATATATATATATTTTTAAATATTTTATTTGACAGAGAGAAACACAGTGAGAGAGGGAACACAAGCAG